CACACACGCGATCCCACGCACACGCAATCCCATGCAGAAACGTGCTCGCATGCACACATGCACGCACACCATGCACGTGTGCACAGACTACACTCACGTGTGTGTGCACGCAGACGTACACGCACGCACGCACACACACGCACAGCCAGCAGTGCTGACCAGGCCCCCTCTCGGCAGGCAGCATATGGTCCGCACTTAACAGCCCAGTTCTGCCAGTTGGGGACCATTAGGGTGGGTTCTTTTCCCAGCATAAAATGCTGCAGAATATAAATTGCAATTAACGCCGCTGCCAAATTAGCACTCAGCGAGAATAAGCACACTGCTAACATCTGGTGAGCCCCGGCCCGGGGGCAGAAGCGGCGGAAGTTCTTGCTCTAGTAGCAGGATGGTTACGGGGACGCTAAAAATACACGGTCTGCCGTGTGGGGGCGGCTCTCCACAGCAGCTCCCGCCCCCAGCCTCGGGTGAACGGCCCCTCCCGGCCCTGTTTGTTGGCATAAATGCTGCTGGTTAAAACTGCTTGCTTGTGGGAACGGGCCACCCAGGCGAGGGCGTGAACACACAACTGCAGCCTAGTGGAAAGCTCATTCTCCAGCCTGAGCCGGGCTGCTCTGGAGGAGAGGGCACCCAGAGCCACCCAGGGCCCCGGGCACCTCCCCCCCAGGGCACACCCCCTGCCAGTCAGGCTGCGACCAGCCACACGCTTGCTTTGAGGAGAAATGGTCAGTTCCCATTACCACCCCCTTCCTTGACCGCCTTTGCCTGGCGGGGGAGGTCCTCTGGGCACCACCTGAAATACCCCAAAATTGGGGAGGGTAAGTGCGCCCACCAACTCTCAGACCCTCATCTACAGCCATGGGGCCCTATCGGGACCTCACCCCTGTCTCTCCGGGGCCCAGGGCAGTCTGTCCCTCGGCCTGCAAGGCCAGGCAGGGCCCTCAGACCACATCGGGACCTCTAAGGTGAAGGCTGTAGGCATGGGCAGCCTGCAGACCAGTCCCTCTGGCCAGGCTGCAAAGAAGTGCCAGCCTCAGCCCGGAGCAGGGAGAGGGCATGAAACCCAGGGCAAGGAGGGAGAAGACTCACCCCACGGCACCTGTGCATCCCCCCATCCACTCAGACAGGAAGGGGGAGGGCAGAGCAGAGCCCCTGGGATGGGCAGACTGTTCCTCCCAGGGCCCTGACCCCGGGACTGCTTGATTCCTGCAGTTGTGCTCTCTGGCCTCCCGGACCCCTTCAGCCCCGCGGGGGTGGGGGCTGCAGAACTGTCTGTCCCTCAAGAACCCAGGGACGGAAAGGCAAATGAAAAGCCCTGGGGCCATGGACCTGCTCTTTTAGTAGGTAAGCTGCAGGACACGCTACACGGAATGGGGAGAGGGGGGACTGTCTCCACAGACACAAAGTGGGAAGATGGCCAGGCTGGGGGCCAAGCAGATGGCGGCCAAGATGGGGACCAGCAGCGTGAGCAGGGCCTGGTGGGCTCTGCACCCCCAACCCAGAGGGAGAGGGAGGCCCGGGGAGGCAGCCTCTGCAGGACTGATGTGCCCCCGCCTGGAAGCTGTCCAACGGTGCCCAGGACCCCCGGCAAGCCTCCAGGAGCATCACCGGGAGCGGTCAGGGCTGGACCCAGGGTGGAGGGAACCCGATCGCAGCCCCTCGGAAGCCACCGGCCGAGGGGCCACCGGCTCTGGGGAGTCTTGCAGTCGAGAAGGCAGCAGGCTCAGCACAGGGAGGGAGGCCCTGGACACTGGGAGGTCACTCCCCATTTTTGGAATAGCTGCACTGAATTTTGTAAAGTGCTAAATAAAGCTATATGAAATGGGGTAGTTTGATCACTACTCTGGCTTTAAACGTCCTTTCTAAGTTTTAATATTTCAAGTTTCTTGAATGAAGCCAGGTATGTATTTCCCCAGAAACGCAGATCTTCACGGAGAAGAGGTCCTAAAGCTGAGTGCTGTGCTGGCGTCGGGCCTGCCCCAGGCCTTGCCCCGCAGTCCCAGCGCCACGGGGGTCCCTGCCCAGCCAGCGGCCCCGAACTTGTCTGACGCCATCTGGCTGGAAACACGCTGGACATAATTGGGTTAAAACGTGTGTTACTGGGAAGGAGAGCCCCAAATCTGGAGCTCCCCACTGCGCTCTGCTCCCAGCTGGCCCGAGGGAAGCCGTGCCATCGTGTAACCGTGTGAGCGCATCCGTCCCCACACACATGGCCACCTCCGACCCCGGGCCCGAGGCCACCCCTCCGCAGAGCCTGACGGCAGGTGGCCACAAACACATGAGACACTCTGGAGGGTGGAAGTGGCGATGGGGGGGCAGCACTGGGGCCCCGTGCTGCTCTGGGGACCTGGTCAGGGCCCCCGGGGAGTCAGCGCTCCGTGACAGATGCAAGTCTCAGCTCAGGAGTACCCACGCCAGGCCCTGCAGGGACAGCCGGCTCTTCCTTCTCATCCTCCTCACGGATGGGACTCGCGTTTCACCAAGCGCCAAGAGCAAGCAACAGGAAGCTTCGGGGGGCCCTGGGAGACGACAGGTGCACGGGATAGCCGGGCAGAGGGGGCGTCCTTCCTCTTGGGACCCAAGGGGCCCCAGTGTCCGGCAGGGGCAGGCATGAGCAGCAGCAGCCGGGCCACACGCCCCTCAGGGCAGTCGTGCTTCCAGGCCCAGGAGACTGACAGAGGCGACAGTGGCCGGCAGGAGGCTCGGCCGCCAGAAGCAGCTTCGCCCGGCGCTAGCTGTCCCTGTCACCACCACAGGTTCGGGGGCTCCTCAGCCACTCTGCTTTTAAATAAGGTGATCTCATCCAGGTGCACCATGGGGACGTCCCGGATGACATTGGTCAGGCCCTCGTGGAGCAGAGGGAAGATGACGACATTCAGCGCGGGCCGCTCGGCCTGGAAACTGAACCAGAGGCAAGCCGTTAGCGGGGGCCCAGGGGCGTGGGGGGAGGTGGGTAGGGGGCCGCCTGTCACCCTCCATCGGGAGACAGCCATCGGGGCTTCGCCTGCCCAGGGAGAGAGCAGGAGAGCAGCCTGTCAGAACAGGCCGCCGCATTCCTGTGTAGCAGGGCTTCCTGGGAGCCACTGAAGCCACGGGGAGCCACGCCCCTGGGCACCGAGGCCCCACAGGCAGGACAACACCCTCAAGGGGTGGAGGGAGGAGACAGGCAGCTGGCCCTGCGTGGACACAAGCCACCCTCAAGGGGCACAAACTCCCAAGCCAGGTGAACGAGCAACTCTGCCAGATGCCGCTGCTGGGAGCCACGAGCCTTCATCCAAATTCGAGGCAAATGGCTCGCCCTCCCCACCCCACGGGGGGACAGTGTCCCCTGATGCAGCATAGATGCATACAGTGGCCGTGGAGCTTCTCAGGCCACCGTCCCCGGGGCCCCGCGGGGACGGCTGGTGAGGTGACCAGCCCCCTTCCCGCCCGGGACAGCGATGCGCTGGCCACAGTCCCTCAGACGCTCAGTGGCAGGTCCCGGTGCGTAGCGACCCACGCTGTGCGCTGGCCAAGAGACGAAACAGAAGTGCCAGCTGCAGGGGGTCTAGGGAAAGGGAGACACACAGGTCCCCACAGACTGCGACAGAAGACGTCCAGACCCCAGAGTAACTTCTGTCCCACGGTCTCGAAGGGCAAGCGATGGGAAGGTGCCCACAGGACAGGGAACCTGGGCATTTGCCAAAACTAAGGCAAGTCCCCTCCAGCCCCGCGCCCGCTGGAAGGGGCAAGGAAGCCACAGCCCGGCCCGCCCTGTGGCCTCCAGCGGAGGCTGTGATGGATTTTATGACACACGTAAAGTAAATGTCAGAAAGGTACTCACAAAGCTGGATGTTCTGGCAATAAAGGCACCAAGGAAATGCCTCCCAGTTCTGAGCTCAGTGTTCTGCTCACGGGCAGCAGAGTCTGTGACCATGAACCTCGCAGGCAAGTCCTTGCCTGCAAACCCGCTGTGTGATTTACTTGAAACAAAATATTCTCGGGTGTGGGATGTGCATGCAAAGACTCCTCTGCCTGCCTGCCCTTCCCGAGGCCGGCACCACCCCAGGCTCTTCACAAGCTGCTGTCAAGATGCTAAAGGGGCATTGATTTCTCACCCAAAGCCAGGAATGCGGGCTGCGCTGCCTGGCCCGGCTCCCTCTGAGCAGCCCCGGGCGCCTCCGGGTGGCGGCGGGCCAGGGGGCCAGGCCAACAGCACTTGGGAGCCACGCACAGAAGGTCCCCGGGGCAAGGAGTGGAGGTGCCCCCACCACAATTCGACCCCACTTCCTGCTTGCTCTCGGTTCACACCTGGGTTCACTGGGCCTTGGACAGAGCTCCGGAGAGCACACTCCCAGCCGCTTTCTTTGCAAAGCCCCTCCCTGGGCCTCAAGGAGCCTGTGTGTGCCCTCAGCTACAGCCTCCTGGCCCCCAGCGGCCCGGATGGCCAGCGGCATCACCAGAGACGTCGCACAGCTAGGCGGGCCTCGCCCGGAGTGGAGACGAGAAGTGGTGACAAGTGGGAAGACGACAATCACTCGTGTCCAAGTGCAGGGCTGGGGCTCCCTTTGGGAGGGAAGGGGCCCCGAGGGTGGAGGCGAGTTCTTGGCGGTGTGGGCAGGGGGTGTATCCTGCCTCATAACTTATGAACGTGTTACAGTGTTCTTTCGCATGATTCAAATAAAGTTTGAGATTTAAGTAAATAGCCCCAGTGAAATAAAACGTCTGGCTCCCCGTGTTCAGAAGCCATTGTAGGCCAGTGACTGACAGCAGGGCGGGTCACCTCTCAGGACCTCTCCCCTGACCAGGGCCAACGGCATTGCTAAGGTCAAGACTCAAGGCTGCGGCTTCTGGCCCTGAGTTTGGAGGACAAGAGCCAGGCCTAGGAAGTCAGTGGCCTCGCCCCCAGGCGCCAGCCTGAGGCGCCCCGAGGAGGTCTCCTGTCGTGCTCCTCAGGCTCGTGTACACCCCGTGCTGTCCTGGGCAGCAACGCGGGCATGGGACATGCATCAGGCAGAGCACAAGGCAGGCACCCCGGCCTTCCTAGAACTGCCGGCCAGGGACCGCACCGAGGAACAGAGAAGCTCCACACACACGGGCCTGGCCTGCCTGTTCCAAAACCCGGCATCGTGAGCTCGGCCGCCTGGCTCCCACCAGAGGCGGGGAGGAGACCCCACGAGAAGCAGGTCAACCAGGGGTCTCCGTGGATGGGGCAGAAGGCCTGCCCTTCCTGGAGGGCCTGAGGGTAGCATTAAAGTGAAACTATGCTTACACTGCTGTTTGTAACGCCCGGAAGGGAGGTACTGCATTGGAGAAAAATCTCTACCCACCGCTGCAACCTGACCCCGGGTACTTAACATGCGCCTTCGGCTATCCGAAAATCTCAGGACCCCCAATACCTTCTCTGAACGCTCCTGGGGGCAGAAAAGAGGTTTTGTTTGTTTCCAAACTATTGTTTTGTTTAAAGAGAAAATATGACAGGCGCGCCTCATGGCTCAGTCAGTTAAGCGTCTGTCTTTAGCTCAGGTCATGGTCCCAGGGTCCTGGGATCGAGCCCCACGTCGGGCTCCCTGCTCAGCGGGGAGTCTGCTTCTTCTCAAATGTGCTCGCTCACTCTCTCTCTCTCAAATAAATAAATTTTAAAGATCTTTAAAAAAAATAAATAAAGAGAAAATATGACAGAAATGTGTGTAGGAGTGCAGAGAGGCCCCGCTCTCGGGGACAGAGCCCCCGCCCCGCCTCAGCTGGGCCAGCCACCCACCCTGCCCGCCTCCTCATCCGCGTCCTGCTGTCGCACATTATCCTGTGGTACTGAACACACTTGTTCTGGACATGGCTTAGGTGACAGATCGAAACGTACACGACGGGAGTCAGGTTTGCTGCACTTCCTTCCAGTCCTTGACATCTTTATGTTAAACAAAGACCGTGTCCACCCCGGCCTGACAGACAGTACCCAGCACTGCCCAGCCTCGGGCCGGCTTGCCTGGACCTCCCGCTCGGCCCTCAGGGGCAGCACACCCACTCACGCGTCGTCCCTGGTGGACACATGTGTGGAGGCTTCTCTCTTACTGTTGTACTAATAAGCATCACTTAACATAGCATAATTATTTCTGCATCTTGAACTATAGCCTCAGAATAAATCCCAGAAATAGGATTACTGGGTCAAAATGAATGAACACTTTTATACCTCAAAAGACAAGCCTTCAGGAGCGCCTGGGTGGCTCAGTCGTTAAGTGTCTGCCTTTGGCTCAGGTCATGATCCCAGGGTCCTGGGATCGAGCCCCGAATCGGGCTCCCTGCTCCGCGGGAAGCCTGCTTCTCCCTCTCCCACTCCCCCTGCTTGTGCTCTCTCTCTCACTGTCTCTCTGTCAAATAAATAAAATCTTAGTACTCTGAGTCCTTTCCCTTTAAAAAAAAAAAAAAGACAAACCTTCAACAAACTCAGATACCTCTTAAGGGCCACAGTGAGAAGCCAGCGGGCCCACCCACCCTAACTGGGTCAAGAGAACACGGTTCCAGAGCCATCAAAACGGAGAATGGCTGGGAAAAGACCCCCGATCTCCTAGAACACCTTCATCTTGTAAGTCCACTTTACAGCTGCCTGTGGCCCTCAGAGAAGCAGAGAGAACCAGCCTGGGCTCCATGCTCATCCCACCACAAGCAGACAACACGGGGGCTCAGGAAAGGTACATCCTGCGGTCACCGTGCCGGAACCAGTCTGGGTCTGCCTCCACAGCAAGGGCTGGGTCCTGGGACCTCAAGGCCTGCGGCTGTCAGAGCCGGAAAGGGGTCTTGGAGGGAGAGGCCGGGAAGCAGCCCAGAGGCGGAACGCGTTCAATCAGCTACGAAACACCTGCTAGGTGTGCTTCTTTGCCAGAGAAACGAGAAACAACACTGAAGCCAACAGCCTCTTCCCCCCAAGATAAAGGTCTTACAGAAAAGCCAAAGTAGTGAGATAAGTGAGAAGAGCCACTCAGGCGTGCCCTAACAAAGGTCTTTGAGCAGCACAAAGGCAGACGGAGGCCCGGAATAAAACAACCTGGAGGTGATAAGGGGACGTCTGTCAAAGTGCACAGAACTCAGATGCTGCTCTGGGGAGGAGCGCAGGGAGCACCTTCCGAGCTCCCCGATAATCCCGCGGATGCCCAGAGCCTACCTGGAATCAGCCCAGACCCCTGCTTCTGCCCGCCGATCCTGCTCTCACGGCCATGGAGAACCCTAGGAGAGACTACTTGGGGTGGGAAAGGTCTCCCGCCCACCAGCAGATGCAACCACAGCCCACCGTGGGGTACTGGACCTCATCCCTCCACTCAGGTGGCCTGGACAGTCTGGACCACAGGAGATTTAATCCCTGAACGGCTTCCACGCCAATCAGCAGCCGGGGGCTACAGTCTGGCTCCTGATGTCCTCTCCACCCACACCGGCTGGCGGCCACTGTGGCTCCCACAGCACCTGGCCCAAGGCCCGTTCGCCCCCAGATCCAGCCCCAGGAGCCTCCCGCACACACAGAGCCAGAACTCGCTAGCCTCCAAGCTCTGAGGCGAGGCCGAGGGTCCCCCGCCCCGAACCTGCAGAAGTAAAGCCCAGTCTGCCTGGTCCTTTTCCGGGTCCCATGCGGCTTGGCATTCCAGATAGGAATGACAGAATGCTCCCAGAAACCTGCCTCGAAAACGTGGCGAGCCGATGCGATTCCCGATGGAGCTCAACTGCCCCTTTAACAGCAATTAAGGCCGTAAAACAGCGCTAATTCTGTATTGTAACATCCACTTTCCATTCTAGAGCTCCCAGGGTTCCCCAGACTTAAACAATTAATCACTCCATCTGTAAACTTTACTCATTTCTAAACACGTTTACAGAACACAAACACAGACGGAGCCGAGCGCGTTTTCGGGGCAGGAAGCGGCACATCGGGCAGGAGGCCT